TGTAAACAGAGCTTGCTTTAAGTAATTTGGTAGAGATTTCATCATATCCATGTGAATTTTTGGGCTTAAGGGATTTAATAATGTTTTCAATTTCCTTCCTTGTTGAGAATTTGAGATTGATATTTGGAAATGAATTGTTAAAGGCACGAGACAGATAGTATATTGGATTATTATTATTATTAGTATTATTATTATTATTATTATTATTATTATTATTATTATTATTATTATTGGAATATGTTTTCTCAGCTAATGAAAGGAAATATTCATTAAATGCACTTGCGATAGCTTGTGGATTGTTAGTGGACTTCCCTTCAATATTCAAACTTTGTACGTCTTCATTAACAGATTTCTTTCCTGATTCAACTTTCACAATATCCCAGGTGGTTTTAATTTTATTGTTTGATTTTAGAATTTGGCTGTTATAGTTATTCTGTTTGGCTTCTTTAATGACTTTTGACAAAATTTTACAGTATATTTTGTAGTGACTTTTTAGTCTTGGATCATTACTGTCCCTACTGGCCAAATATAGTTGTCTTTTGTGTTTACATGAAGTTTTTATTCCAATTGTTATCCAGGTGGATTTGTTTTTATTTTCATTTTTGACTATTTTTAAGGGAAAGCTTGAATAAAAGATCCTCAAGTATGTGTTCAGAAAGCAATTAAATTTAGAATCAATATTATTGCTGTCAAATACATTGTCCCATGATTCATTACTTAATTTTGTGACAAAATCTGCCATCGTATGCTCATTGATTTTCCTTACTGTTTGATATTGTTGATTACTGGGCTGAAGGTCAATATTATTTATTTCTATGAGTTGAGCATCATGATCGGATAAGCCATTTATAAAGGGTCCTACAGTATAGTCTCTTAATTTTGAGTTATCAATGAATATATTATCTATCGCTGAACTAGAATTATTTTGAACTCTTGTGGGAAAGTTAACAGTACTGGAGAGATTGTAAGATGATAACAAAGAGTCTAAATTTAGTTTCCTATTACTGTCGATCAGATAGTTTATATTTATATCACCACAAATTATAAATTCAACTTTTGAATTATGGTCTCTTCATTCATATAGACCCATTTCTGTTGAATCTTGTTTCTGTCTTCATGTCAGATAAAGACTGTCTTGTCATATAGATATAACAGACATTCTGGGAAGAACTAGTAACCTGCTTTCCTTTCAACACAGTATTTATTGTGTATGCATAATTAAGTCATTAAATCACTGTTAAGATGGCCTCGGGTGGCATCATATTTACACCAAGTTTCATGACAATCATGTCAGGCATTCAAATAATAACAATAATGTTATTACCTAAACAATTTGAGAAGCTTCAGTGTTGGTATTTCTGATGGGAGGAATAATGAAGTATGCTGTTGTGATGAACTCAGGTGGCTCAATATACTAGCCAAGTTTCATGATGATCGGTACAGGCATTTGAAAGTTGGTATGGGGGGATACATATACAGACACACACGGAGTAAGATGAGCTCATAAGCCTTCTTTCATTTTTGCCAAATGAGGAAAGTAGGATAAAAGGAACTTGAAATAGAACACCATAGTTCTGTATATAAATATCACAATAGTAAACATGGAGTGGGATAAGAGTCTCCCCTCAAACTCCACTCACTTCTCAGAACAGATTGTTTGCAGTGAACAATTAAACTGAATGTAACAGTATAAATTCATTCTTTTTATTGCACAACAGTTAACAAACTATAATATTCATAAAAATGTACTACAAAAATATACATGGCAATGAAAATAATTGTAATGTTCACAGTGATGTGACTATGATATGCAGTTTTCAATTTGGTATTCTGATTTTGGTAATTAATTTGCTCAGCTAGATTGTGTTCTGAGCTGTAAATACTGACTTATAGGACACCATTATCAAACAAGGTACAGACCAGTGGTTCTGAACTGGGGTTAGGTGAAGTGTGATATATGTGGCATATGTTGTTATACACGGGTTGAAAGGGCCTGAATGAAAGTGCTGACAACTCAGTTCTGTACAACTTTCTCTGCGCATGGGATAAATTAAGTCTGTTTCGAATGAAAATGTTATGGTATCTTGCTGTTTTCACAATGCATGGTAACACATAGTTGAGGTGCCACTGAAAGGTGTGTGTATTTGTACACTCAGGCCAAGAGATACTCGTACGTCAGCTAAAATGGGTTCAGAAACACTGGTACAGACAATAACATAGAAGTGCAAACCTGCTTGGTACTATCCTAGTAACAATACACTATAATCACTGAATAGTTAGTATTATCTCTGGAAGCCTTGAACAAAATGTGTGATGTGTAACACTATACAAATGATCATTACTTTTTAGTCTTTTACAAATACAAACAGCAACTGAACTTACAAACAGACGCTCTTTTTTCTCACCCCTTTCACTCTAACATGCTTTTGTTGTTGTTTTAGGATTAATGTGAGACAGAGTACTGTAGAATCAAAATAGGTCTACTATACCAGCCCCTGCTGACAGATGGATATGGAGCACTGGTGGAATGGTAACTGGAAAGGGAAAACTAAAATGCTGATACAAGACTTCCCCATCACCACTTTGTCCAACTACAGATCTCACACAGACTATTAATGCATTGAACTCAAGCCTCTGTGGTGAAAAATTATTGGCCTTTTAGTTGTGACATTCTAAGTTAGCATTTTTATCAAATAAAGAAATATATAAGTGGCTTTAATGTTGGTCATATCTTCTAGTGAAGGCACTATGTATGTGGCTGCACATGGTGTCATCCTACATACAAGTTAGTAACTTGACTTCAATTATTTAATTTTCCAAAGCCATGTTCATATTATCTCACCCAGGGCTGTAATGCTGAGTGGTAGGTAGGTATGTTCATATTACATGCATGACCACGCACAGTTCCAAAGCCGATATTGCATCCCCCCCCCCATTTAGTCTAGAATCTTGGGAAACTTGGCCCTGTCTCTGAAATATGGTCTAAATTGGAGATTTCCAGATTATAACCTCTGAAATATGGTCTAAATTGGAGATTTCCAGACTATAACCCTTAAAACACAGTGGTAATTATATATATATCACCTGCATTAATATTAAAGAACTCTGTATTTTACTTACAGAATGTATGTGTTATGAGTCTCGCAATAAACAGTGTTTATTTCCCCAAACAGCATTAACTGGTTGACTTTTGTAATGAAAATACAGTGTTCTCTGCAAGGTACAAATGAATTCCTAAATATTATTTGGACAAATTTCATGTTTCAAAAATATCCACACTAGGTTTTACAGGGTAATCATAAAATATGAATAACTTAGATTTTAATTTCATTTATTTAAGTGAAATTTCTATGTGAATTACTAAGTTTTACATATTAATGGATTTCATGTTTGTCATTTGGTACAGTACACACATGCTTCTTATATAAGTGAGAGATCTGACCATCATATATCAGTGTTATCATGCAAGTTACTGTTTAGTTATAATGCCTCAGTAACTTGTATCTGTATAGTGACAAAGGAAAATAAGGGGATACACTCTTGTGTATATGGGAACAGAAGAATTTGAAGTCTCTGCTTTGTAGCCATTTGCTCACAGCTATACTTCCCTCAAGTGATGTCATCACTGCAATCTGTCAAGGCTACAGGCCACATAAAGGTTTGGACTGACAACTAGCAACTGTTTGGTCCCTCCATCTTTTCCATGTGCCACACAGTTCTCATTTTCTGTCAGATATGTAAAACAGACCTTAATATGGACATTTAACCGGTGGCATCCTGAGTAGGATTTGAGGTTCTCACAGCGGTGGTTATGAAGAGTTCTATCTTCTGCGATATAACGCTGTGTAGACCCTGAAGATGTAAATGACATGTTCCTCCGAAACATCGGTTGACTTTCAGTGGACTACAAAGCTTTATATCTCAGGAGACAGAAATCTTCAGGTGGTAGGTATCCTAATTGCATATTCTTTCCATCTATATGCTTAAAGTATTTATGATCTAATTTGAAAGCAAACTAAACCAGAAATCTGTACATATATCCAACAGACATAAAATGATATAGCTGCCCCTTTGCTGATACACCACACCATGATTTGCAGATGGTGTGTTATGCTCTGTGAATTTCTTCTGACCCCAGTACCAGATGGTAAGTTATCAGCTTCATGCTTCAGACATTTTACTTCAAGGGAAAAATCTGCTGGTACCCACTTTGACAGTCAATACAACATAGTGAAAAGCAAAGTTCCCATGCATATTTGGAATCAAACCTCAACTGTACAGTGCCCAGCCAATTACTATGTTGATACAGCTCCTGGTGCAATATAAATAATATTATATTATGTTCCAATAATTACAACTATTGAAGAGATTGGAATGATAAATTTATTATTTTGGTCTAAAGTTAGAATTTGATCTCAAACAAGAGAGAAGGTACTCAACACATGATCTTTACAAATATTAGTGTCATACATCATGTTAACAACTTGTAACATACCTTACAGCAGTTTCCATTATTTGTTTTCCTATGGATTATATCACAGGCTACTATCATTTGTACAGTATTCCAACCAAGCAAATGCTATCACATCAGCCACATTTTCAGGCATATTCAGTGTGGCTGAAAGTGCAGACTATACATATAGACACGTGCACACACACACACACCCTTCTTCATGTCTACAAGGAGATTGTTACTAAGTATTTACTTTCTCACTGACACATTCATCCATCTTCATTTTATTCACAACATATAATTAGCACACAAAGTCTACTGTTAAGAACAAGTGTTTCCAGAATTTGTAATAAATGCACTTCAGTACATCAGTGTTCCCCAACTGGTGGGACCCAACAATTTGATATCAAATGCATTTCTTCACTTTTAACAGTTCACAGAATATGGCAATAGCAGTGAGATCCCGTCCTATTATGTCACCTGCATGTGCTACCATTTCTACTGCTGCCAAGCCATTTTTTCATATCGCTTTATATTTGTTGCATACTTTGCTTTGGCAGAATAATTTTTAATCTTGATACTTTGTTTATCATTCATTACTCATTCCTAAAATGTTACTAAACTGTTAAATTGCTCAGTGCACTAAAAGGCATATTTATGAAAACATTACAGTAAGAATGAACAAAACATAAACAGTAACAGTAATATGAACACAAATTTACACTCATATATTCATGCACACACAGTTTATGATATGTGATTTCCTGATTTGGTACAGAGCAAGACATTGAACAATATTTTGTTGGGAAAGATTATAAACACTGCCATAAGCCATGTCCATAGACGTATATTTGTTCCATAGACTCCTAGGATCTGAATGAATTCTGTGCTTATGTGGTTGTATGGAATTACGAGATGATAAAACATATGCATAAATTCAGGTTGTAACTGAAGAACCAGTCAGCAACCGAGATGTCATAACAGTAGCACTTCTAAACACTTACTGAAGGGGTGTTCAGTTCGAATCTTGGATGGGACACCTGCCATGCTTATTGAGTTTCTCTATGCTTTTCTCAGGCAAATGTAAGGATAGTGCCTTCATGATACTTTCCTCCAAATCCTTTCCAATTCTTCAGTCATCCCACCATTTTACACTGTACAGTGTAGATAATGACATCATAATTCCTCCCACCAAGCGCATGTACAAAACTCTTGCAGAAATATACAGTATATAGTCGAAACAACATGCTCACCTAGAAGCTTGTGACAGTGGCATATTTAAATTGCAGGGTATTTCAGAAGCTGGACCTGTCAGACACTCATCATGTGCATAGAGGAAGTGACCCCACATAGCTGAACTCATCAAAAAGAGGCAGTGACTGAGACCAGCAAATGAGATGATGATGGAAGTAGATCCAGCTTCAAAAACACAGGATAATTTTAATATACCAAAGGAGATAGACACTGTCCAGAATAAACAATCAAAACAACACATTTTCACTCTTGTTTTTCTGTGAGGTCTTCCTACATGACACAGAAGACTGATGAGTAAAATGTTTAGGATATACTGCAGTGTGAGTTCACATTGAATTAGCTTCTACCATAATGGAACCTTCATGAAGGAAGACAATGGGCAGTGCTACTATTGGTGGCTAGGAGAACTACCACAAGGTAGGTGAACATATGTGCATCACAACTTTTTTAAGTAGCTATATAGAAATGGTAAATTTTTGCCAGTTGCATAAGAATTGCAGATGCCTGCCAACCAGAAAATTACTATAAAATGGAATATCACTTATAATGACATTAAAGAACCAAGAAGGATATAAGTGTGGCTTGTGGATCCCTTGCATTCATTTGAAACAAGCTGAACAGACTCCTAGAAACTGTGTGCATTGTTTTGAAGCAGGTAACAAGCAACGTTCATGAAGTTTCCAAGTCATGAAGAGTGCCACAAATGAAGACACACTTGTCACAGAGTAACACACTGCCCAACAACCACTGCACCAAGGTCAGTGGTCGGTGACCTGCAGCATCATACCATCCTTCTCCGCATCACACTTGCTGTTGCCATTGTGCTGTGCCTCATCATTGTCAGGATTGTCCCATGCTTGCCTCTTGCCTGAGCTGAATAAGATGTAGAATCCAGCACAGACGATGTAGACACCTGACGCAATCAGGAATACAGCTCGCCAGGCAGCTTGTGTAGGCTGCAAGGAAGATCACAAGTGGAACTAGTACACTCATAATATTGTTGCATAAGGGACACACTTCACTACATTTGCAGTACCATAAAACTTAAGCACTTACTATAACAGTGAAGATACACATTGCAGTCTCCTGGGTTATGTCACATGTATTCTGGTAGATGTATACAATGTTTCAGAGGAGCATAATGTTTCCATCTTTACACTGAAGATGGAGGCAGCAGGTTTTCCCGAAACGATTATATTGTCACGAGAAATTACACTTCTGTTGGTTATGCTTGGAAATAATTTATCTGGCACTATTTCCCATTATCTATAACCGTTTAGAGTCAATTTAAATTCCTTAGTGCTTTGCCAGCACAAACTCACTGGGTCAGATAGGGTAATTGTTGCTGGCCTTTGCCAGCATAATCATTCCTGGTTTCGAGCCCCATCGGGACCCATGACATAATATATGTTCATCCCAAGACCGTTTATGTGTTTCGAAATTGGGCCTCCTCTTCGAAGAGAGGAGGGGTCTGACTACTGCTGGTCACTCCCCCTCTACTGGGGAGTGACTCTGCTGGCTCTCACTCTCACTCAGCACTCACTCTAATGACCTGAGTTCAGTCACCGACTGACTGACTGCCTGACTGCTGAATTGTTGCCGACCCTCACCAGCACAGTGATTCTCGGTTCTGAGACCCACAGGGACCATGACCACACTTTAATGTCTGGCATGTGCCTTTATGTGCCCCTCTGGAAGACCGTCTATGACACAATGTCTCCAATGGCTTCCAGCTGTTGCTGGGAGTACAAATTTATCATGATATTTTCTAGTCATGGGGATCTCTGCAATATTTCTGTGGTTTGATGTTCAAGAGTTTATGGATTTTAGACATCCCATCCCAGTATACACCTCCCAGACTACAGCATTATACTGCAGAAGACAGACAAATTAACACTGCTAGCATAAAAGGCTCCCACTGGATCGTTTGCAGAGTTAGCTGAATTCCATTTACAATTGATACATTTCCTTAAGATTCCATTTAATGTTATCTTATAATTTTGTGTCTGTTGGTTTTCCCACACAAGCTAATGTGACACCAAAGTTCCTCTTTATGAAATTTCATTCAATCTTCTGCTCAGATCATCTCCCTGAAGACAAAATGTTTCCCTCTTTCAAAACTTGCACTGTACGAGTAAATTGTTGCTTGATGTTATGGTAGAATGTCTCACGACCAAGTGAAACTAATTATAATTCCAGTACTACACTTTCTTACTGTTTGCACAAATTCAAATTCAGTCACCTGCAGCTTCTTTGTTATGTAGCTAGTTGTGCACAATTTTTCACACCCCACTTCATGCGAAGTTAATCATGCTGCACACTCATAAATTGTATCTGCTTGCATTTAACTATTCACCATATTGAATAATATTTCAAGCTGAAGCAGCAGTTGTGAATTATGTCTGTCCTACATGTCACATACAAGTGTTTTTAAGAAACTCAATAAATACTGATTTTAGCTTTGTACAAATTAGAGATTATGCTGAATCAATGAACCAGAACTTCATCTTGCCCAATTTAATACAGACTTATTAATAAGAAATCTAACTGCACTTGTTCAGTAATTTTGGACATCTCACCTGCAGACAGAATCTCCCCAATGTGCACTCACTTTGTGCACAGAACTCGTGGTACTCGCACATTAGATTTAATGCTTCAGTATTTGTCCCAAGTTCACAGAGTACAAAGACTTAGCCCTATTCATCTGTTACCTTTTCAGCTTACCCGTTTATCTGTGATGTAGCCTGCGGCCATTGGAGCAAGAAGACCAGCAAAGTTGGCCAAACAGTTGGTGAAGCTCATGAGAATGCCAGCAAAGCGTGGTGAGATGTCTAAATGGTTCACCTTGAACCCTGAGTAGATGCCACCATTGAGACCGACACCAATAGTGAGCAGTGCAACTGTGAGAGGAGGATCACAGCCAGTGTATGAAGCTGCAATCAGTGCGATTGCTGGCCCAAACTGCCCTGCATCACACAATATATCAGAATATTAAGCACTTGTGAAATGTCACTGGAAGAAAGATCAATATTCTGTTTCTTGGGAAAAATACAAGTATGTGGTATACCTGTATGGATATGTAGTGATACTTTTAGGCATTTTTAAAAGTATTTTGATTAACTTTACATATTTTGAGAATTGTATAATGAGGCATCCTATTATATATCAAATTGATGCTGCTGCTACTACTGCTGCTGCTGCTGCTACTACTACTACTACTACTACTACTACTACTACTACTACTACTACCAATAATAATAATAATAATAATAATAATAATAATGTTGCACACACTTCATACCATCAACCTTATTGAGGAAGTAGAATTAAGACACTGTTTTTGAGAGATGTCATACTGACAGACTTCCTTACAGAAAATATCTGGTATACTCGTACAATATGTAAAAATCTGAAGTGCCTAGTACAGGGAAATTGTACGATATTTTGATAAAAGAAATATTTTCAGAATAAATTAATATAATATAAAGCGGCCTCCGCAGTCTAGAGGTAACGTTCCCGCCTCATGACTCGTGGTACGTTGGTTGAAATACCCGGCGGAGGTCGTCGAATTTTTAAGGGCAGAAAAATTCAGGGAACAAGTCCTCCGGGAGGGACTTTAAGCTGTGTGTCCCGTGTCGTAACTTTACAGCACGTAAAAGAACCTCATATCCCCAAAGGGGATCACTGAGCCAAATTCCAGGACGTTTCCCGCCCAACAATAGTCTCTAAGGCCTCTGATAGATGGGGGAAGCATTATAGATACCGCCAAGCAAGTGGCCGAACTCGCTTGCTCAGCGGGACTGATGGTACGCACCATTTATCGGTAGGGTATACAGACTGGTAGAATATCATAGAGGGAAGCACAATAGATCAAACTGGTCGTGGTGCATGGGGAAACCCACCCTCTCTAAATAACTAATAACTAACTAATATAATATAAAATATCAAAATGAGAACTGGAAATCACTGGGTTGAACCAACAATGGTAAGCCCTAATCATCAAAATACTTGGTTCAGTGTTTGAATATTGTTACACAAACAGTTAAGTGGTCTTACTAATGCTGTAAAATAATGTAAAACTCTTACCAATGCTATTTATAATTTTTCTTGTGACTGCATGTGTGAACCTATGGCTTGAGATCATCCAGTCTGCCACGTGACTTATAAACATAGAGAACAGCCACATGGCAAGGTATGGCAGTGCTGACAGAAGCCCATTCTGAAAGACATGGGCAAGTCATCTGTTAGTTTTCAATATGACTACAAATATGAGGGCTATACAGAAAGTAACTCTTGTGAGCTAGTAACAAAACAAGCAATGAGAAAACATTATTATATAAAAAAAACACATACATGCTTAAGCTACTTCTCAGTATCTTCTCAGCTCTATTCAATATGTTTATAGATGATTTACTGAGAAAACTGGATGAGGTCAACACTCATCTGCTAGCGATGCTGAGGGAACTGGTATCAGGATTATGTTTTGCAGGAGCAGGCTTGCTTACACCCTAGTATTCTATATGACATCCCATCACTAACAGACTCTGTCATCTTAACTACTGATAACTAACTAAACTAAACTAAACTCACTCACCCACTCACATGCTCCATGGAGCCAAGTACTTCCTGAAAAGTCAACAGCATCTCAGCCACTTAACAAGTTCTCAGTATTTCATGAATACTGAAGGTTCTTTACCATGTTCACAACAGCTAATCACTGGTCTGTGTTCTCAGACGGATGAATGAAGTCTTGCCATCAGGTCTTGACACTAAACCTGTGTTTGCATTCCTTTCCCATGCATGCTACATTCCCTGACTATCTCATCATCCTTGATTTGATCATTCTAATAATTTCCAGCAAGAAGTACAAATTATGAAGTTCCTCATTATGCAACTTTTTCCAATCTGTTATTCCATCTCTCTTAGATCCAAATATTATCTGCACCATTCTCAAACACCCTCGGTCTATGTTCTTCCCAAGTTTCACACCCATATAAATAACATGCAAAATTATCATTTTGTATATTTTAAATCTGCATATTTTTAGACAGCAGCTGAAACTTCAAGAAATTCTCAGCTGAATGTTAGTAGGCATTCCTTGAATTTAATCTACTCTGCACTACTTCATAAATGCAATTTTGATTTGGTACTGTCATTTTATATATTTATATATATATATATATATATATTTATTTTCAAATACCTATTATCTTTTTTTGTGTTATGGTTTTGCCCTACATTCAGGTGATGAGATACCAACATATACCTAGTTCTCTCCATTCCTTCCAGACCAACCTCCTCTCTGCTGAAAAGTATGATTCATTTATGTACAAAAGATCCTGTCTCTAATTCGTGATTCTCATTCCCATTTCCACAGAAAATGTACAATCGCCTGCTCCTTCAGTACCACCTCCTGTCCCACCTGACCTCCTGTACTCCCACTAAATCTTACTCATAATTTGCTGTTTCTCTTGCAATAACTGTTGTCAGTGAACCTGCTCTATAGAGATCCCTTTTGTGCCAAATCTCATTTCAATTTCCTGTGTCTCTGTGATTTAAAAGAAACTGGTAAAGTCTTAGGCCCTGTGTAACACTTGGAACATGGTGGTTGTTGTCAGTTTTGACTTGTTGATCCAACTCCCAAGCTGGAGACCTGCCCCTTGCTGGTTACCTGTATCTGTTTTCAATATATCTGGAGACTGTTTCATCTGTTCATGACCTGAGATCATGGTGGAAAAGGGGCCCTATTAATGTTGTTGTTGTCATTGTTGTCATCTGTTTGTTTGTTTGTTTGTTGGTTGGTTTTATAGTGGATGTGGTGGTAGTAACTTACAAGAACTTACATCTTTTAGGTCGAAGTGCAGTACTTGCTTCATGAAGGAGGGTAGCTCTGTCATGAGAGTTTCATAACCATAGTTCTGCCCCATGTGTGCCATTAGAATTGCCCAAAATGGAAGTGACTTGGCAATCGACATCCAAGGAACTTTTGGTGACTGTGGAACAAAAAAAAACCTGTTGTGAGATATATTCCTTCTTAGAGTGCATAATGTATGGCATATTAAGAACGTTTCTTATAACAAAATCCAAAATAAAAACTTTTCCAGAAGTGAGGTACTAATGAAATAAGGACAAACTTTTGACTTTAACTTAAGTTTACTGGATTATTTTTGCCAGATTATTTAAATGACTGGATTATTCTCACAAAGAGTTCTAGCATCTTTTCAGTTAATCCTATGCAGCACATTCTTTCCTGAGAAGCCAATAGTAAGTAGTCACATAATTCCTCATCTTTTCTGAAATCTGAAGTTTTCCTTCATAAAATACAAAAATAAAGAATCTTTTCTTTTTGTACTAAAAATGAGGAAGTGAAAGAAGATTAAATAAAGTTAGGTTTTTATGTCAACATAAATCTATTGGTTTATCCTTTGTCAGAAAAGTTAAGAAATCATATCCCCTTTCAGAATTACTGTTTCTTTTTTTACTTTTTTCTGAAACTGGATCTGTTTCCAGAACGTGTTTTCTAGTCTCTAGAATACTGGCAATGGAAAAAGTCACCCCCAAAACAATAATTCTGAGTGTTTTAAACCATCACCAGAACCCTTTAGAATCTCAATATCCTCCTTGTCACGCACTTCTCTTTTAGGGTGAAGCACATAATACACATAAAACCTCAAAACTTACACATAATACACAGCTTAGTAATGTGATGGAACATAAAATGGCACATTTCAGTGTGCATGTTAAAATTTCTTGCAATATTTACACTGAAATTAAAACATATCCAAACAAATACTGTCTGAATATAATTAACACTTACAGAAACGCCTGCAGCACCCCAAAGTGAAGTAGTAATATATTTCTTCTCGTCTTCAGCAATTCTTCTTGAAGAATCAGGATCTTCAGCAACCATGAACAGGAATGCTACTGACCAGACAGCTCCAATGACACCAAATACATAGAAAATGGAGGGCCAGCCACCAGAAAAGCCATACTCTGCCAGCAGACCGCTGAGAGGATATGATACCACTGTTCCAAACTGTGCACCTGCAAAATGAGTAACCTCCCTTTTCAGTTCAAGTGCACTGACAAAATCAATTCTGATGTTAAATTGTTCTTCCCATGGATCCCCTTTCTTCTTAGTTTTAATCAAGACAGTTCACACCATCAGAGTTTGTGAATAGGTGAACAGAAATTTTAACTAATTTTGTGGTATCAAAATCCAGAGGTTCAACATCGATAAAACAAAGACTTAATTTTTTTCTTATCCTGAGTCAGTTCAGTCTATCTCCCATCCTCATAGCCTAAGACCCATACTGAATGCTATTCTTTTCAGTATTCATGTGGCTGCTTTCCGAGGGATTTCTACATCAAAATTCTTTATAAATCCTTCATCTCCCTATTCATGCTATGTCCCCAGTCCATTGTAACCATCGTGATTTCACTATCATATGACCATTTTCCTCATTATATAATATTATCTCATGTTAGTGACTAGACAGTAGTTTGGGGTTGATAATTTGATTTATTGAATACTTGTAACTACAAATAGTTATCGCTAACAAGTCGCTATAACACACATTAAGTTTTCTCAGTTTGCTCTGTCATCACTAGTTGTTGCTTGGTAGCGTCCTCTTCTACTCATGTCATCACCAGCTCTCTAGCATCTCACAAATGGTCCTCAAGTGTTGACTTTCAACTGCAATTGCAACTGCAACCCACAGCATTGGGGTTCTATCTATATAGCCTCAGAATGGACTGCACAGAACACAGTTCACTTCTTGTGACCTGTGTGACATAAACCATGAGCAACAAGCGGAGACTAGAGTCCAAGCTCTGCTTGCATCTGTAGATGACACCCAGCTGGAAAAAGTAAGGCCCTGTGATATACAGAAATTAGTAAAGATATTTAAATTCAGAAAGCCTTGTGTAATTGATTCCAAACGAATGGCTCAGGCACCTTCCAAGAAAACCACTGGTATATTTGACACATTTGTTTATTCACTGCCTTTGGGTGTCCCATTTTCCAAAGTCTTGGATGGAAGCAAAAGTCATGACATTACCAAAACCTGGTATGGACCCAAAATTCCCTCAAAATTTACATCCGATGAGCCTCTTGTCCACAATAGTCAAGCAATTTGAGACAGTTATTCTGAAAATAGATCAAAGGCACACTGAAGAAAGAGGCCATTGTCAAAGAGGATGTTACACAAGAACTATGAACGCAAGGGTTCAGTTAGGGGGGATTGAGGCTCGACGCCAAGACAAACTGATTGGTGGTAAACCACCAGTTGTAAAGTAACTCTGACTCTGACAGATAACATCATTTATATCAGCTCTTTTATTGTTGCTGGTGGGTTGACAAGCCGTTGCCTAGAAATGGCTTGCATATTTATTGAGCTATTACCTAGCAGGAGAACGATTTCTCTTGCCCTGCAAGTTCTTCGACCTTGGAGAGCTACAGTTCACAGAAAGAGCCCAAACCTTTGGTTACATTGCCAGACTAGTCACAAAAACAACACACATGGTCCTATCAGCAAAGAAGTTTTTGATCAGTTTTCACTGTACTCAACTGTGCTGCCTCCACTGTTCTCCTGACTTAGCCTATAATAACTTCTTACTATTCCTCAGACTCAAAAACTGTTATGAAGAGCCAACATTTTGTGTCAGCTGAAGGTGTTAAATAAAATACAATGGTGAAACTGAGCGGGATTTCATTTGGCTTCAAGAACTATTTGAATTGTATCAGCTCAACTGTCACAAGTGCATGGATCTGAAAGAATATCATTTCATACCTCTAATGATTTTAGTTCATCACTGCAAGAGTTCGTGTTTGACACAGATAGGCAAATATTTACTGCTAGGATCAGCAGATTTCTTATACTCATAATGATACTTCTGAAGCAAATATTGAAACGTGTGCCCATGAAGTTCTTTACCATGTGCCCTTGAATACTGAAGAAGCAAAGGTCTCCAGTGTGTCTGGGCTGTACATTAAGTGCAAAGCACTTTGTAGTTTACATAAAGTAAATTAGTGTAAATGGTGTTAGTACACCTTGCTCCATTCTCTAAACAACTTAGAACAGCAAATACATGTTAAAAGCAAGTCACATATTGTAGAAATCTCCAGCCTCTGACTATTAAAGAAGAACATACACTACACATGTTGGAAAACAAAGTGTTCAGAAAAACATGTAAACATAAGATGGATGTAGCATGAATGAATAAATGGTGGTACGAACTGGCCCTTATTCAGCAACTGTCAATAGTCTGTTGCGTTTCCCTATGATTCAAATAAAGTACAGTGCTTTACTTAAAGGGGCATCTAATTAGTCAATAAAGTAACGTTTCAAGTGAGAAACCCCCTTCCTCCTACTCTTCGTCTGGCTTTACAGCCCTTTTAGTTTAGCCTTAGTCTCCCTTAGAATTACCATCCATTCTTTTCTGTCTTGAGCTTCTAGTCTCCATCTTTTTATATTTATCTAGAGTTTTCATGTCAGTTTCTACATCATCTAACCATCTCACCTTGGGTCTTCCAACACCACGTCTGCCTTCTGGTTTAATGCTGAGTATCATTTTTTGTATATGAGTATCTTCCATTCTAACAAAGTGCCCCAGCTACACCAGTCTTCTAATTTCGATTTCAGCCACAATATCTGGTGACTTATATGCATTTTGTAGTTTAAGATTGCTCCTAATTCTGCACACTCATTCACATTTTGGTCTATATATATTTTCCTTAAAATCCTTCTTTCCCAAGTCATCAGAGCTGATACCACTTTCCCTGTGAGTGTCTAAGTTTCAATACCATGTGTGAGTAGTATATGTAATTGTTCTCATGAGAGTTTTACATGATCTTATTTTCGTGTTCTTACTTATTTACCACTTGCTGATCAACTTATTCAAGGTGTGAAAGCATCGGCTGGTAGCTGCAGTTCTTAAATCATATTCTATTTCATCTTGAGTTGTAATTAGAAGCCAGAAGCCTGAGTGATGTATATACCATGTTCTACTCTACTGTAGAAATGTTACTTTTGTTTCATCTACTCTAGAGAATGAGTATGATCTGTCTTAAAAGCAGTGTTCTCACCTGCATACACAAAAGCTCCCATGCGACTTCTCTCATTTGGAGGGATCCATTTAGCCAGCATAGCATGAGTGCATGGTACAATTGGTCCCTGCAAACATAGGAAATAAATGTTGTGTAGAATTGTCAACCCTCTTATACAAGGTATGAAAATTTAATTCCCGGAATGACCACAGTGTGTTGCTGAGGTGTTGAGTCAGGCAAACTCACATACCCAAGCATGTCCGGACATGTTCCAACTTGCGTTTACATGAGCCACAGACCAAATGAGTCGTTTGTTCCCCAGCAGTGGAGGAAGTAATACATGTCAATGGTATACTGTTGGCGGAAACATGAGGGACAAGAATCTGGAGCAGTGGATAAACGTCGGGTTTTGTGTACAAATTGGTAAAAGTACTAGTGAAACGTCAGCCTTATTAACAGTGGCTTATGGTGAATATGCTATGAAGAAATAGAGTGTTTCTGAATGACATAGGTGGTTGAAGGAAGGGCAAGAAGACGTGCAAGATGACCCAAGAAGTGTTTCATCAATCGCAAGAGGAGAGTTCATTATGAATTCATTGCACAAGGACAATGGTAATCAACAGTGTTATTTGGAAGTGCTGACAAGGTTATGGGAATCTGTTTGGAGGAAAGGACCCAAACTCTGGCCTGACAAGTGGATTCTCCACGATGACAATGCCCCTGAGCATGATGTGTTAAGAGTTTGTGAGTTCCTGGCTAAGAAATCCATTACAAACATGGACCATCCACCTTATTCACCTGACTTAGCCCATCGCAATTTTTGGCTTTTTCCAAAATTAAACAAATGCCTTAAAGAGAGAAAGATTTGCTGACATTACTGACATCCAATGCAACATGACAACATTACTGCAAGGTATTCTGAAAAAAGATTTTGAAGACCATTTCCAGAAGTGGCACCATCATCTCATGAAATGCATAGATTCACAAGGAGAGTATTTCAAAGGCGACAGCAGCCGCTAGTGCACAGGTAAGCATTCTGGGAATTAAATTGTCGCACCTTGTACACAGCTGTAACATTCATCTCATGCAACTGACAAGTGAATATAGAATTGGTTCAATCCATTGCATTCAGAGATAATTAAATGAAGACTAACATAACTAACCTAAACCAGTGTTACCAATGGCATGCAATCCAATAAGGAGCTAATGATTAAACATTTACTTATGAGCTAATATTTTGCAAATCACAATTCAGCAAAACAGTTCCCTGTGTTGTGCCTCATGCCGTCTGCAAGTGGAATATCAATGCTGCCATTCACTGTAAACGTTACATTAATTTCGGTGCATACCTACCTCACCCAGACCCTGGATGAATCTGACTACAATAAGCCACGCAATGCCCCCACTAGCTCCAACAGGAACCAAGAGGCCAAATAATGAGTTGATAAGCATTCCAACACCCAAGAAGTATTTGGCTCCATATTTCTTTGCCAAAATGCCAAATGGTATCTGTGTTAGCACATAACCATAGAAGAAACTGCTAAGGATATAACCTTGCAGTTTTGCATCCCACATGTATGTGCCTCTATCTGATGATTTCTGGAACAAGAGCATATGGACGTCTTGGTCTGGAACTGAGATCATCATATCTCAAAACTTATGTCTGGAAAAAAACACAATCATTTAACATTATCAGTTACTATATATGAATTTCCAAATATCACCACTGAATCGTCATATCAAAGAATATGATTGTAGACTATTTTCAATAAAACAAACAGAACAATATTTCATTAACCCTTTCCATGCTAATTTTGATCTAAAATACCTTCTTCTGTACATTACAATGGCAATGTACCATTTATGCTATTGAGAAAGAACACATAGCTTCAGTTGCATAGAGAGGGTGCTAGATGTCTCTTCTCTGAGCTTCTCAAACAGAAAATACTGTAAATTGAGAGCAGAAGTTCCATTTCATTACCATCAAAGAACAATATCTCCTGTATAGCATGGAAAGGGTTGAATACCTGCTGAATTCAACTTCATAAGCATAAAATAAATTGGGCATGAACAGAAACAAGAATGTTCATTCCTCTGCAGTGCTGTTTTGAACAAGCAATAAATGAATATGCATGTCATTTTCAAACTAATGAAATGTTTCCTTACCGCTGGGCTATGTTTACTCATTTCAGCTACCCAGCTATTTGAGCTGTTGTCTGAATCACACTCATCATCCAGAACAGTGTTATCTTTGGGCAAGGCTGTGTGGTTCACCATGGCAACAATCGCGACTGACATGTTGGTACGCATTACATAGGCATTTGCCATCCCAAGGAACAGCATGAATGTGACAATATGCCGTGTACCAATACATGCTGAAAATAACAAAACAGACAGTTTCCATTTGATGCTGAACAGTCTGAACAGTCAGTCCCACATTAATCATATGCCACTGATGCAGCCAATAAATCTTTTCTGCTTCATGTAAGATCACACTTTTAGCTTGTGTAAGGATGCTGCAATTCTCTTGCCATTATCAAAATATACTTTTCAAGAAGTGATATGTTTTAACTTACTTTCCAACCTTAAAAGGGAAATATTAGGCTACTGAGAGCAACATGCTTCCTCTCTCTCTGTTTGTGTGTGTGTGTGTGTGAGAGAGAGAGAGAGAGAGAAAAAATACAAATTTTACCAACTTTTATCAATGTTATGTCACTGGAGGTCCCCCCAACCTCATACATTTTAGGTGTGTTCACCTCTCAAGAGTATCATTCCAGTTTGTTCTCTGTTCATGTGCACACATCAAACAGTTAAAGAGCCACTGGATGGATATTCCTGAAATCTGATATTGCACGATTCTATGAAATATCACCAAACATTTCAATATATTCATTTAGATCAGAAAAATTTAGGAGCTGTTTTACTTAAAGACTTGCATGTGTTTCTGTAGGTATGTTGCTATATGAGCACTGGACAGAAAATATTTTGAACAAGTCACAGTAGAGAAAACTGGAACACATATTTTATATGCAGTACTGTTTTGTTGTAAGACTTACAGTTTTCGAAATAATTAAACAAAAGTGTTACTGGAAGTACATTTCTGGGACTGAATATTAAAAAATAACCATGACCTTCTAAACATAACTGCAACTGGGATGAAAGGAGAAAGAATCTAAGCCTCTATTGAATTTAGATAGCATTTTATCAGGTTAAGTTATGCTTGTAATGTAGTCTTCTATTATAGTATGTCTTTGAAGAATATATTAAACTATTTACATATATATAATTTTTGTTCAGAGTGTATATCAACAGTGAACAATGAGCAATGAGCAATGAACAATGATTGTTATTTTTTTTGTTAAGTATACAATTTTGACTTCACCTAGGTCAGAGTAAGTACCACCCAACACTGATTAACGGTATGTGAATTTAACGATTGTTATATGTGAAGATTTAACTATAATCTTTAATCATTTCATCTGTAATTACATCTGCTGGATGTGTCTGTTAATTGTATGCTGCATACTTTTACAATCTTGTTGCATTTGGGGTTTTCAAAGTGGTGACTACGAAGAGTACTGTCTTCTGTAGTGTAAGGACATGTATTCCGATGGAAATTCACCAAAGTTTCGGAGAGATAGTGCTTCTATCTTCAGTATCAAAGAGAAAGCCAAGCAAGTAGCTACCTTTACTTGCATCCTGCTTCTTGCTAGCCGCTTGCTTGGCCTAATGTTCGACCCTGAAGATGAGGGCAGTTGAGCCCGTAGAGCCCTCCTAAACGGCGGTTAACTTCCACCGGCATACTCCGCGTTATATCCCAAAAGACAGTATCATTCTTATACAATACTGTTTTCCCTCGAATGGAAAATACAAAATGGCGTCTGCATGAGAGTTGTACTTAGCTCTGGGTTAATTGGTGATAAGTAATGAATTATTACAGTTCGGTATGTACAGTCTGGCATGTAGATATATCAGAAATATTCCTGAAAATTCTATAGGAAACATTACTTTTAACTTAGCATTTATAAACAACAACGGTGCGAAACGTTGAGGTTATGTGGGACAAGTTTAATGCAAACAGAAATTTATACTCAGATACGTTCTTCGCAAAGGAAAATACTATTAATGCTATTCAGACTAATGGTTCTGTTGTATAAGTAATTTTAACATGCCGTGTTACAACTGGAAGCAATAACAATTCAGGCATATGACCCTAGTATACTAGCCCATGAGCTGCACTGAACTTCATTTTTTGGATTACAAATTTCATTGTGACTGGTACGTTGGTCCGATTAGTTCTGACCTGAAACCTTCACATTTACTATTTATTACTCATAAAAAAGAAGTAAAGGTATCCCTGTAACATGCTGTGGAGGCCCATAGGGTTGTGAGAGGTTGAGGCTTCCACATTTTCTAGACAATCGGCTCGCAGATGGCGGTGAGGTTGTCAGCCTTATGCGTCAATTTCTTTTTTCTTTTTTTTTTCTCTACCTCAGCTACATTTCTCTATTATATAAGTACTATGTATTGTGAATATGAAGTCCATCAATTGAACAGCCATACTGAACCTATTGCAAATGTCACCGACCTTCAGTATTTGTACGTCTGTCTTTATACACACATTCCTACATCTTTGCCTTGCCTGTTTTATTGTCCTTTCAGCAATGTTATCACACTCCTCTGAATGTCTTTGAGTGAAAAATTCACAAGGGGCCAAGTCAGATAAGTGCAATGGATGGTATTTGTTTTTCAGCCAGAGATCACTTCTTTGACAAAAGGCTTGCTCTCAAGCTAGAGATATGATTTCATTTAATTAATGCATTACTGTAAATACTGCAAGATCTTGAGGGGAAAAATACTTGGTTGACTGTTTTGGGAGAAGTAACAGACAATGTCATTAACAACAAAAGTAGATCTTCAGTCTTGGTTTTGACATTCACATTGTTTTCAGTTTCAGAGACTGCTCTTGTCCATTATCAGTCTGTTTCTGCATCATACTGAGGTCTCTCTAGCAGTCACTGTGTCTTGAAAAATATTAGGTTTTACAACAGCATTGCTGAAAGGTGCAGGCATATTTATTTTATCCACACTTTCTCTGTTCACTGCTTCATTACCATTTAAACACAGACCTTCAGCATGTTCATACTGTCATGTGATATAGTGACTACAGATCGGGTTTGGATTGGTAACTGGATTTACTGAACACTTACAGACTGTAACTACAAGTAACTATAATTCACACACTCTGCAGTTCACTGCAGCATGTACTAAATCTTCTGAGTCTGCTTTGTCTTCACCAGTCATTGCCTGGTGACATCCTCTGCTTCTGTGTTCAGAGCTGCATGTCCTTGCTGGCTGTCATGTACCTCACTGCAGCTCCCAAACTGAACTAACAGGCTTCCAACTAGCGAACTCTCAACTCAACTTGACTGCACTCCACTAACCGACCCCACTTTGTCAGTCAAGTGATATAGCCTCTGATCAGACAGCATAGAAAATACCTCTTGCAACAATTCTTCTATCGTTGCATCATGTGGTTATCGCTCAGACCATGTAGACACCATTCCTCTGTTGCTCTTTATGGCCACTACATAGCAACAACCATTGTCCTTCTTACTTAGCAGCATGTCTACATGCTACAATATGTTTGGTCAAACACAATCTCACAGTTTCTCTATTCATGTTCAAGTTTTCTGAACAATTAATCAGTGATAATTCTCAGTATTTCAACATCTTTTTCCATGTATGGCTCAGTTACCAAAGTTGTCAGACAGCTGGAACTTTGTCATCTCTGACATCTTGATGTCAATAAACCCACACAAAAACGTGCATTCTGTTACCTCGCAATAAACTTGCTATAATGTTGTATAAATATCGGTGGCACTTTTCCTCTCATTTTTGCAACAACTTATTGTCAATATTTTTGACATCAGAAACTGTGTCAGTATAACACCACCAAGCATCACAGTTGAGTAGTTCACACTTATGCTTCGTATTTTGATACTTACTTACTTACTCATGGAGTTGAGCCCTAATGGAGGACCCGACAATTCTGCAGCTACTCAAGAATTTCCTCGCATTTTATGGAACCCGAAGGTTCTTTACCGTGTTCACAAGAACCCGCCACTGGTCCCTATCCTAAGCCAAATCAATCCAATCAATATCATCCCATCCTATCTCTCTAAGATCCTTTTTAATATTGTCCGCCCACCTACGCCTTGGTCTTCCCAGTGGCTTTCCCACCAATATCCTACATGCATTCCTCATCTCCCCCATTCGTGCTACATGCCCTTCCCACCTCATTCTCCCTGACTTGAACATTCTAATTATACTTGGAGAAGAGTACAAGTTATTAAGCACCTCATTATGCAGTTTTCTCCAACCTCCTGTATTTGGATATACAGTTCAAATCCCAGCCTGGAATCTGGCTAGCCTGACCGAAGTATTTCATCGTTCTCCTCAGTTCCTCCATGCAAATGCTGGGATGCTGCCTAAAATTAGTCCATGACCTTTCACACCCTTTCCATTCCAATATTTGCTAGTCACTCTGTCGTTCCATGCTGCATAACCATAACAACTGTAAGATTTATTAAATTAACCAAGAGCAAGAGTAATGCACTTGTTGCTCACTGCAGTCAGAAAATGAACTGAATCCCAAAGATCATTTTATCAGAAATTACAGAATCATTTAGTCATGTGAGTCCACATGATGTACTAACTAAGCAGTTTTAACACTACACAAAAATGGCATTCTGATTATTTGATTATTGGACCTTGTAAGTTACAGAGTTCCTAGTCGTTTGACACTGTAAATTGTCTGATTCATTACAGTAATCAGTTCGCTGCTCTTAGGCCAGTCTCTGGAAACTGAATCCTGACGCCATGGTCTGCTTACAATTGGGAGACTGAATAAACGTACCTAGCGTAAGTATAAGTGACTTCCAGTCAATAAGTTCATAATAGCAATATGAAAGATCATAATAACTTATTCATGCACTGAATCATGAAAGAGAAGAAAATGAATTAAAATATCTGCATTTTTACATGTACAATCCAATTTATATATTAACATCATGATGGAATTTTTATATTATTGTAGGTGGTTTTATGTCAGTTACTTGTTACGTGCATTTTGCCTACAGTCAGATTGATCTGTCCGTTACAAATCAACAGCATGAAACCCCTTACTCTTCAGACAGTTCTTTCTGTGTGCGAGATTTGAGCTTCTCAAAGCTCTCTGCCAGGCTACAGAGTGTCACAACACAAAGAAAACTATAATATTAATATAATAACCTTTTCTCTGGATCTCTGACTGAAACCTGTGGTGACAGTGTTTCTTAACTTTACAGTAATAATGAATTATTTTGAAAAAAGGAAAAGTGTATGTATAGGGTAAGAAAAATAGCAGCAAACATTAGGGACACTGGAATAGTCTTAGATTCTGTCACAACTATGTAAAATATATGATTTAGTTGACAACTGAATGATCTGGTGTACCAGGTCATATTTGTGTTGTTATCAAATAATATAGTCCAAAGTATAAACTAAAGGGAAGGTCATGGTTTTATATATGGATGTTTGTAGTTGTAGAATTTTCCAGCTACATGAAGCCTTGTAAACAAAACGGCAGATGGTAACTTCATTCAGAGATATTGGGTTTTCGGACTTTATCCATCATCCTGGTTTTAAGATAACTAAGAAAAACACTAAGTTTCAGAAACTGGATCTGTTTCCGTCCTCAGGTGAGGGAAAACACCTATTCTGTTGGGTCCCTTAGAAAGAGCTAGCGTCAATCACTGGAGGCTAGCTCTTTCTAAGGGACCCAACAGAATAGGTGTTGTTCCCTCACCTGTGGACGGAAACAGATCCATTTTCCGAAACGTCGTGTTTTTCTTAGTTATCTTAAAACCAGGACGATGGATAAAGTCCGAAACCCCAATATCTCTGTGTTATACACCATCGTCAGAATCCTATAGTAACTACTGGTAACTTCATTGTTAACATTATGATGTTCATGCTGTCCTTCAAGCTCTTGTCTCATCAGTCCCCCCCCCGAGGTCGGGGCAGAAAGGGAATGTGAATGTTGAAATGAAAAATGAAAACTGTAACTGGGGAAAAGATTAGCTTTTTATTTATTTGTTTGCTTTTTTAATGACACTTCAGTAACTTAGGCTGTACTGCTCTGACTAACACAATGGTAGTGAATTATGAATTTGAAAGGAGGGACTGAGGAAAATCACTGAGAAATTCAGTCAGGATAGGTGATGATGTGACCGTGGTTTGAACTGGACATATCCAAAGCATTACTGTTTGATTGAATTTACTTGGTAGTTTCTTGTTGACTGTAGGTACCGTATCCCATACGCCACTTATAGCTAGGAGGGGGCATGATGGAAGTCTTTCCTTGCTTGGATACGTAAAGATTGATGGCTTATGTCATATTTCAAAATGAAGTTTATTGTGACTAAAAGAAATTATGCACACTATCAAGCTCAATCGGTACAACGACAGGCTGCTGTCTCCATGGCCAAGGAATCGGGTTCAATTCCCAGCAGAGGCAAGAAATGTTTCTCTGTTCCACAGCATCCAGACTGGCTCTGGGTCCCACCCAGCCTGCTATTCAGTGGGTACTGGGGGAAAGGGGGGGGGG